CACCTTTGTGAACCTTTCTTTGAGCTACAGTGCTTGAGAACAGACAACTGCATGCAATCAGTTTCCTGCCCTCAAATCCCTGCATTTCTGCTGTGAAGATGCAGAAAAAGGATACCAATGGTGACCTGGAACACTTTTGTAAATCTCTTTCTGTGTACGATCGGCTGCTCTGCAGCAAATCAGAAAGAAACCATTTTTTCCTGGTTTGACTGGGCAAATGCAATCACCATTGCATCTTTGCCAGAAGGTTGAGATGAGGAGCTTGTCTGGGGCTGTGTTGGCCTTGAGCTGGTGATGCATGGAAAGGATGAAGGGGTAAGGGTCCTTGGGTAGGAAACTTTCATAAAGATCCCTGGTGCTTGGCAGGCTCATGGGTGTGTTGGCCAGCACAGGGGTGGCAACTCATTGCACAGAAGTAATTAGGTTACCTTGAAATAAATAGCCTATAGCAAATGTAGACACTTGGAGGAAGATTCTGCAAATACTCCTAAGCTCTGTAATTCCTTATAATTTTTAGGAATTGGTTATCCTCTGCTTGCACACAGCCTGAAGAATTGGCCACTACCTTCACTGGAAAAAAGCAGGCATTTGGTATAGTAATAAAAGACTTTAAATAGGAGAGAGGGAGCCCAGCATGCTTCATTTGAAAGTGTGGCCAGACCCTGCTTTCAGAAATTGTTTGTCCATCCCTCAAAAATCATGAGCTTGATTTTCCTTTTTTTCCAGAGGTCATGTGTGAGCCAGACAATTTCAGCATTTGAGCTTTACAGATCACTGGCATTAAACTGTATCTGTTTATCAATATGAGAGTAATCAATCAACCAGCTCTAAAATCTGTACATACTATGTATCTATATACACCTTGCATCAAGATTATTTCCTATAGCTGGATGCTCGAAAGCTTGCTTTATTTTATCAAGAAGTGAGTTTATAGTGAAAGTACCAGACTGCTGGAGCACTAGGTAGAGAACCAAACTTAATCTTTGAATGCAGCCTGTGCCTTCACAGTTCAGGGACTTGTCACGCTTGTGCAATGCTATAATCTATAATGCTATAGCATACATCACCTCTGTCCCTCAGCCTTCCTAGCAGCTACACAACGCAATTGCAAGTGTTGCCTTTCCTATATTTTTTCTTTCTTTGCTGCCCATCTCCCTTGCAGGCTCCTGCTGCTCTTCTCTGTTGGGGGATGCGTGCCCAACAGTGAAGGTGCTACCAAGGACTAAGCCATCCCGTGTTGGTGACCTTGTTTTGCTTGGTTGTCCTTTGGGGGTCTATGGTCTGTCTCTTACGGAGTGGGGAAAATGCCATTTCCCTGCTGCAGAAGGTGTTTGAAGAACCGGTTGTCGAAGGGTTGTGAGCTAAAGGACAGGGCAGCAGGAGCCCTCCCCCAATGTCACAAACCCTCTGCTCAGCTCTTTGCTTCTGAGAAATGCTTCAAGGTTCACAGAGTGTTTCCTGGAAAGTGGTTTAGAAGATCAGTTTTGCAGTTTTGAAAACTAAATGAGTGCTTTTGTGTGAGGCTTTTCATGCCTCATTTTGGAGATTGATATCTTGCTTGTGTCTAAGGAAAGCTACAGAAAAATTTAGCTTCAACCCAGATCAAACCAAAATATTTTTGGCTTGATGGCCAAACTGACAGATTAATTATTCTCAGTCCTACTTTTGCACTGAAAAGAGATTTATTTTTCCCCTGTAAAATGAACCATGTAACTGAGAGATGTGTGTATTTTCCAAGAGTCAAATGGACTGATCGCACATATTCTACGTGCGAGCTGTGGTCAGTTGGATGAGACCCATGGCTTTTCTCATGGTCACAGCTGGTATGTGTTCTTGCATGTAGAAATTTCAAAATTTGGTTTCTACAAAAACTTGTGCAACCCAGTGTTCTGCTTATATTACACAGAGTCAGTTTGCAATAGTAATTAAAAAAATAAGCTAGCTAGGGAGTTACGCATTATATGTAGATTGCTCACTGAGGTGACTAACTGACCTGGTGATCACTCTCCTTTGGCCAGAGCCTTGGCTGTCTGCATCGAGTCATTGCAGAGTATGGCAGTATTGAAAGCAATAGCTGGAGAGGAGAAGGGTACTGGTTGAGGAGTGTAATTCAAGTTTTCAAAAGCTTCATGGCAATGGATAAGATGAATGCTATACTGTTTTTTTCACCAAATCTCCTAATATTAAAACTAGAGGTCAAAACTAGTAGAAGACCAGTTTAAAATACATATTGGAAAGACCTTCTTTGGGCAGAGGCCAAAACAGTGGGACTGTGCTGCCGCAGAAGGTTGTGGAGACAGCATCAACAGGTCTAAGGAGGACAATAGAAGGATTCAGTCCTCACTAATGTGCAAGGTGACAAGCACTGGCTGGAAACATGGAATATATTTCCTCTAAGTATTTGTACAGCTAAAGCTTGAATGTTTGTGGAGCAGAAATGAAGGCAAATTTGCCCAAGCTGAATTAATTCCCAGCCTTCAAGGAAAATGCGTATGGAAAACCTGTTGGAGCTGATCCACCCTTCAGCAGACACTCCACAAACAGGATCTTCATCCTGCCTGTTGCCCCTCTGCATCCCGCTGTGCCACAGCCATATCTGTTAGGACTTGGCTGCCTTGGATGCAGCCTCCGAGCTCTCTGCCATGGAACATCGTGGGTGCCAGAGTCTTGCCTGGGCTCTCCTGTCCCTGCTTGGGGTGGAAACAGGGGCTTGCAGAACATGGCATGGAGGAGCAGTATAATGTAACTAGCTGCTGCTAGGGGTTTGTTCCTGCTCTTGCTAACCTGTGCTCGGGGATGCAGCCTGTGGAAAGACTATCCTTCCCCTTGCCTCTCAAACTCCAACACCAGCACCCATGGGAGAAACACCAGAGCATATTTTTTGTCTGGCTGGGGTTGTTTTGGTGGGGCACAGCACTCTGCTGTGCTCCCCTGAGCGCTGCCTAGGCATGTATGAGTGAGCTATGGGGTGAAGACGGGGTGAATAGACCTGGGTCTGTTCTTGAATAGCTGCAGAAAATTCCTTTGGAGGTGTTATGTGTACACAGAGGCTATTGCAGGCTTCCTGAGGGCTGTTACACCTTCCCTCCTTGATGAATCCATGGAGTTTTGCACACTGGATTATTACAGGGTGCCCTTTTAGCCCCTTCTAACACGACACCATTTGCATTTGTTCTCCCTCTGGAGAACGGGAGGGAAAGAACAGTGATATATTCAGGGACTTAAAACCCCTGCACTTAACACAAATGAAATGGGATCTCATGCCAACTGCGTGATTCGCACTCTCCTAGCTTTGTGCACAACTTTGGGGCTCTCTCCCCACTCTCTTTTAGGTGATTAATTCTACCTCCTGCTAAATGGATTTACAATTAAAATGGGCTTATTTGTAGCAGCCACTGAATTTTCACTCTCCTTTTCTTCTTTTTTTTTTTAATATATAATTGAAAACACACCCAAACTCAAGCCGCCTGTAAGTATTAATTTTCATTTCCACAGAATGCTCTGTCTCCGGGGCAAGGAAGGAAATTCCAGAGAGTTAGCCAAGACAATCAGGGTTAATGTGCTCTTTGAAAAGTGTGGTGCAAACAGGACCCTCGCTTTCTCATCCAAAGGTCAGGACTGCTGCTGGGACAGTGGTCTGGATATGGGAGAGAGAGGACACGGGTCTGTCCCGGTGTGTTTTTGGCCCAGGATGTAGTTTGGAAGACTAGAGTCCATGTGCAGCAACCATGGGAACAGTGACATGATTTTTCAGAAAGGCTGTGGATCATTCGGGGGGCACATGTGCTCCTTCGCAGAGGAACAAAAGCTGTTTTCAGTTGTGTAGGGGGTGCCTGACTGCACAGCACAAGTGATGTTGTACAATCACGAGTGTAAGAAAACGCTTGTGGGGCTGGTGCTTTTTCTTTCCCCTGCCTTGATATCCAAAAGAACAAGTGTAGTCCCTTTAGGTGAAACCTCATTCAGCCCAGATTGAGTCACTTCAGCATGAGAAACAAAAACGATGACAGCAATAAAAAAGAGACAGCATGGCCTTGCCACCTTGCTCATCTAGGTGATGGACAGGATCACCCAATGAACATTCATTTACCAGTGACCAAGGGCACCTCTGCAGCCTGGTCACTGGCAGGGCTGACTTTCTTGCTCTTCATGGTACACATGGGTTCATCTTGTTTTGGTGCTAAAATGTCTAAAAAGCTAATCATGTGCATTACAGACTTCCCTCTGCAAATCTGCTCCTGCTTATGATCAGTGACTTCCCTCCCTCCATCCCCATCATGCCAGTAGGCTATGATCTCCTCTCCACCTGGAGACCAAGCTGTCAAAACTGTTTTGAAGACCAGTAAACCTTTTATAAAATAAAATCTCAATAAATATTTTTAATGAAAAGAGCCCTCCCCTTCCTTCGCACAACTACTTTAAGCTTGGAAGCCTAAACACAAATGTGGTTTTATGCATTGGTATAAAAACCCCAAAGTGAGACTAACTTGCTGTTCTACCTCTTCGGTTAATCAGATTTAGTTTGTGTGTTTTTTAGGTCTCGCTCTGTTTCCCGGCTGGCTCCCCTCTCCCCTTTGGAAATGGGCAGGAACATTGAGTTCTGCTGTGCGATAAGTTTCATGGTTGTTCACCCAAATTCCTTTCCTCCTCCCGGTCCCAATAGCTGAACTGCAGAAGAGCGCCAGGACTTTAAGAACTTTTTCAGCTTCACTGCAGTTATTCAAGCCAGCAGCTGAAGGTCTGCACTAGAGCAATGAGGGTCATCTTTTCCTCCCCGCCCGCTACCTCCAGTAGGATAAGAAGTGGGTTTGGGCAGTATAATAATTATTTTTTCCTCGTGAAAAAGCTGCAGTAATATTTAGTCTGAGATCCAAATCAAAACTGCTCTTACCCCGTAGCCCTCCATGGTGTGAGGCAGCAGCATTTTGGGAAGCATGGGCTGCACTGGGAACAACACACAGGACAATTTTAGGAAGACATCCAGCAGTGCTAATGCCTACCTGTATGTTCTTCACTGCTTCTGTGCCCTCTGAACAAAGGGTGGCTTTAGTGTCTTTTTCCAGAGACATAGCGCTAAAAAAGCCTTTAAGAATCTTTTTTTTTCTCATTGCAATGTGGCTTTTGGAAAAGACCACGGACCTGGGAACACAATGCCAGAGCTAAGCTGTCACTCATGGGCACATTGCTCCATTGCTCCCTTGATATTAAATGCCACCTTCTGAACAAAGATTAAGTCAGACCCTATGTGGTCAGACCATGACACTTAGTCTAGCTGGGCAACCTCTCCTTACATATTAAATGGGGACAACATGTATGAGGCTGATGAGAAAAAAAAGGAGAAGTTGGAGAGGTGAGGTGAAAGCAATAGGCTGTTACTATTATTCAGTGGCTTCATGTGCAAAATCTGCTTTCCTGTACTCTTTCTGGAGGTGACACTGCTATTGATACAGTTGGTAAAGCTGGTTTTATGCAGTTGCTGTGGGCTGGTCTGGTAGCATGATAATTAATAATCTAATTTAGAAACATTTCATAGCACTTGGAGAACTGGGAAAGAATGGAGCAGTGTGGCAGGTTTATTGCCATGGTCTTCAAAAAGAAAAATTCCCAAGAGATCCAGGCACTGGTTTCTTCACCCCAAATATCTTATGCACAAAGACAAAATTACATTCTGTTTTTATATGAAAATGCAAATGGAAGCATCTAAATCACTAATCTTCCTCAAAAAATCTTGTTCTTCAGTGCTTGCTTTTTCTTGAAATACTCCTGGCTGTTTGCATTGATTGTTTGCATTAAGAATATGTATGCCTTTGGCCAAAAGAAAAATAAGAATATAAATTGAAATGACAATTAATAGTTCAAATTTCTTTTAATACTCCAAAACACGTAAACAGTAGCATGATTTTTTTTTTTCTGTTTTCTATCTCCAGTGAGAGGCGGGTTATTTAATTTGTTAACAGAATTCTGTGGTCCTACTGGTTGCAAAGGGAAGAACAGGGCTGCACACAACCATTGAGACACAGGAACTGGGGAGATCTCTGAAAATCCAACCTCCTACCCAGAGCTTGAGCACCAGCATCAAATTTGTGAAGGTAAGACCGACTGCCTAACAGGTCTGTTACTGCCGTTAAGTATCTGAATAGTGATGATATTGAATTTTTCCCAAATTCAACTGTCGCGAATTTGAAATGGTTAAAATTTGCTATGAGGACCATCAATGTTGATATGTGTGGCTGCAGTTTTGGGCAGTTTGTGGATCTCTAATTCTGCATTCCTGCACCCTCACCCGATGTACTTTGATATGGGTGTGCTCTTTCTCTGATGACATTGAGCTCTAACTCAGGTGCCTGTGAACGTTGTGATGCCCCTTGGGAGAAAGTGCTATGCCATCAAGAAAACGACTTTATGACTTAGGAAAAAATGTATCAGTCAAGTCCCTATGCAGCACAGAAAAAACTCAGTGCGTCAGAGCAGTGGCTCCAGGCAAGTTAATTATAGCAGGGTTATTATTTTTTCTACCTTTGCAGTAGCAGATTTGATTAGGAGTCTGGGGTATTGCTTTGACAATGGTGAATAGCAGGACTTTATTCCTTTTAGGTCTTTACATAGAGCTAATCAATCTAACAAATGCATATTTATATAGCTTGCCAAAAGGTGATTATGTCTAATACTGATTTTTTTGTGTTAAAAAAAAATAATAATCCAGGTTAGAAAAAGACCAGTTCAACTTTATAAAGTTGTCATTTATACAGAGCTAGGCCAGGAAACTGTGCTATAGGTAGGGTCAAACAAAATTGAACCCTCAAAAAGGGAGAAATGCAGTTAGTGCTCTTGTTCTGGTCCCCTTTGTACTGGGGAATCCAGCCCAGTTTGAGGATACGTCTTCTTTTAAACTCTTTGTCCTTATGACTGCAGCCAGGTCTTTGTGGACCAGCATTAACAAATCTGACACAGACCCTTTAAAAGGCCCATTTGTGTTTGGTCAGCCTGTAGGTTTACTCTCTTCAGATTCCAACTGTGCAAATCTTGCCATGGAAAAAGGCCTCCCTGTGAGAAGTGACATTCACCACCGTGAGAGCCCTTCTGTTCAGAAATCCCCCTCAGCTGACTGGCCAAAACCCCCTTTCCTCCAAAACACTAAAAATTGATGCAGATAACGCAAATCCTTTTCCTGTAATCCTTGGAGAGGAGATTTAGCGAACCGCCCCAAGAGCTTCAGAACAGCTGAATTTAGCAAAAATGTCATCCCTGTTCCTGTGCTAGGGGTATAGATGAAGAGCAGCGTGTGCTGGAACCATCTCACAGAGCTGGTGTGCTGGTCAGGGAGAAACATATATATGTAGTACTAAAAATACAAATCAAGATATTGCCCAGTCCCTGATCTGGCTTTTCAAATACTGTGTATTTCTATCATCACACCGTGGCTTTGCTAGTTGAAGGCTGTAAACCAGGTAAAGTTTGCAAGGATCAAACTTTATTTTTTGTTTTTCCAAATTGGTATGGTTGCAGGAAGAAAAAAGAAACTTTTTCAAATTGTCACAAGGACAAGGGTAGAGGAGAGGCTGGGGGAGCTGGTCCCAGGGTTGGACCCAGCAAGCCTCGGCGGGGGACAGCTGTGTGTCTCCACGCTCCTCTCTCCCCCACGGCTGCAGCTGTTGAAGGAGGAAACGATCCGGGGTTGGGTAGATTAAATAAACCTCCCCTGCTCGGCAGAGGGGCTGGGGAGCTCCCACCTCCCCCTCTCTTGCTTGGTAAGAAATATTTGTGGCCATTTGTTATCCCCCTGTTGTATGCTTGCCTGTTGGTCGTTATAACTGGGACCGACTACAGTCCCAGTCCCCTTCACCAAAGGTATTGCTCAATGGCATGTGTGATCCAACTGATGGTGACAGCATAGACAGGATCTGCCCGTTCATGTGAGGATGGGACAATTTTCTCTCCTTAACCTCTTTGCATCACCTCCTCCAGTTTTCTGGGAGATCTTGATATTTGGAGAATGAGAAACTTCCAGCACGGTTTCAACAGTGTCCTGTACCCTGGGGGTATCGCTGGAATAATCACAGGGCTTATGTGGATGAAGTGCTTGAGAAAGGTGAAAGACCACTCACTTGAAAAGGGAATAATGGTAATGCAGGAGGAAGGCTGATGCTTCACCTTCAGCTTTCTCATCCTGCCCTATGCTGACCACAGGAGAAACGCAAAGATGTGAACCGGACTAAAATTAAACTGTATTGGTCTGTTACCCCTGGTCACAAGACTGATGCTAAGATTTAGCAAAAGTTTTTCAAGCTATGATTTTTAACAAGGGAAAATGGGACCCTAAGTAAATGTAAATTTTAAGTTAAGGACTGAATATTTCCACTTTTCCTAAAAAATCCAAATTGCTGAAAAGAAACTATACGGGCTTTGAGGCTTGGGGAGTTTCTTTATGAAGCAAGGTGATTGGGAAAGACTCTCTTTTTCAGTTGACAGATTTGGTAAAATTAATTTTCATTTGGTAAAACTGATTTTCTTCTTACTTCTTAGCTTATGGTTTTGGTGATGTGTTCTGCAAGTGCTGGGCTGAAGCTGTCATGTTCCATGAAACCCAAGCCTCAGGCTAGACCTTTATGTTGCTGTGGGTCTGCAGTCTTCTCAAGTCTGGATCAAAACAGTAAAAGCCTCATCATCCCTTTAGTAATCCACCAGCCTTTCCTTCAGGAGAGGTTCATGGAGGGCTTCCTTCAGGGCTTTTCATACCAGTGGATTTTTCCTTTCCCTGTCCAGTCTGCTGAGACTTCCTTGTTCTTGTTCACACCATTTCTCCCTCCATCCTGAGCCAAACAGTGTTCTCCACCATTGGAGTCAGGGGGTTTGGCATGGGTTGCATTGATGGCACAACCTCTGACTCTGGTGATAGCCTTCCACTTCTCCACCTTAGGCTGAGATCCCTTCAGCTACCTCATTTAGTACCTCATGATGTCACCTTTGCTATTTCCCTTGGCCAAGCTGCAGCCAATGAGGTATGTGTCAGCATAACTCTCTTCTCGTAGGGGATTGCTGTCATCGTGCCTGCTAAAATACCAGTTGGGCTGGCAGGGGATGGAGTTTAGCATGCATGCCAAAACCGTGTCTTTCTAGAAACTGGGCTGTGAAAATTGGTCCATAAATTGTCTTCTTCAGACCACCACTGCTCCTGTTTTTCATCTCAGCAAAGTCTTCCTCCTGTTTTCAGCTCATCCTCCCACTTGGTCCAGCTTTCTGCGGCTTTGGATCTTTTCAGTGTGCAGATGAAGATCCACCTTTAGCTTTCCGGGTCTGAAGCTGGTGTAGCTCCAGGGAGAACAAAGCTGATCAGCTAGAAATTACTGTGGTGTAGCCAATCCCAGCATTTGGCTATGTGTCACTGTGCATTGATTTGGCTTCTTTCGCCTCTTGGCCCACTTTCTGAGCACATTTATCTCAATGTACATTAGAAATAATTCCCCCAGGGACACTGGTGTCTCCCTTTGCTACAGCATATGCCTAGCAGATTTTCTGTGGGATCTAAAACTATATATGATCTTCACCTTAAAATGCAGCTCCTAAGATTTGACTAGCTCCAAGGAGTTTGCTGATGATTTCCTGTAGGAGCAGAACACAAGTTTTTAGCAAATTCATTCCAAGGCTCACAATCCATAGGAACCTGGAGCCAGGCAGGCTCTCTTCTTCTTGAGATCTGTGGAAAATATCCTTTTTCCCACCTCTTAGCACTCATCTGGGTTCTCAGGGTATCCATGTACCAGCATCAACCCAAGGAAAACTGTTCTTGTGCCAACCTAGGAAATTTTGAAATCAACAGATATGCAAGCCTGAGAAGGGACTGGAATGCTGGATTAAGGCTCTATGGTCCTAAACACTTTCCAGGATTTCTCATATCTCACTTCTGGGGCATTCTCATGGCAATCTTACAGTTATAATCACATCAGCAGGTTCTTGCTGGAAGACACTTGATTTCCAATTTGGATTCAGTAGATTAATCTCTCCAATAAGGCAAACCCAGAGGTCTGTGCAACCATGAGATTTCATCTGAACTAATCCCAAAGTTATAGAT